GAAATGAATTAAAATGACCAAATATCCTGGAAATAATCTCTGTTGTCCTGGAAAAGTTTAAATGTATTTTAGTCCCTCACTCAGATCTACTTGTCCTACCTCTACGGTACGACACTTCTACGTTTGTGTGGAACAAACTTACAGCACCATTGAGTAAAATTAATTAATTGATTAATCTGAATGAAGCCTGGTTGTTAAAAGCAGCCATGCCCTTAATAATGAATAACTTTAATCCTTAATATAATATAAAGGGGGGAGTTGTAGAGTTGTAATGAATGGGGGGACAAAAGGCTGTAAACATGTTTATTTCAGCTGTTGGACATTTTAATATGTTTCTTTATGGAGACCCCTTGCTGAAGCCAGCCTCTAGTGGCCATTAGAGGAACTGCAGCTTTTGTTACTTTAGCGTTGAATTAATTTTACAGCCACAGAAGTTGCAGCTTTGCTAAAAATAATTGCGCTAATTCATAAAAATGGAAGCAGAGGATGTTTAGTCTTCCTGATTGCTTTTATTTGTTAGTTGTATTTGAATAATTTTCTGTCGATTGACTAATAGATTTAATCCACTAATTGTTTCACCTCCAAAATTAGAAGCTTTTGATAAATTTGTTTCCATCATCGTATTAAATGAATTAGGACTTTATCTCCCTTTGCTGTGGTATTAAAAGAGCCATCGAGTGTTTTTTAATACTCGTATTGTATCAAAGTTCAAAGTTCAGGTATGGTGACGACCTCGTGTAGACCAGCCCCCCCACTCCTGTATATGATCCTCTGTGGTAACTGCAGCGCTGCTGTCAAACATAAACATCTAACTTGGGAAACAGATCACTGGTTTCACTGTAAAATGATCTCTTAACAGTCTCCCGCAATTCCACAGAGGTCCTTTTTTATTGGACATCAATACGGCGCTGTGTTTAAGGTCGGCCCCCCGAGGACGCTCAGACTAACAGACCACAACCGTCTGAATCTGCATCAAACAGTCAAAGAAACCTGCAAATGGATTCCTCATAAATAACTGAAATAATTATTAAGAGAATAAGGTAATACATTAATTTGACTACTTATTGATCAGCTTTAACTGAAGTCAGAGCAGAATTTAACTGTTTGCATACATTTACTATTATCAGTGTTTCAAAACCTTTAATCTCGATCAGAAGTCTCCAGATAGAATCGGGTATTTCAAAGCAGGAGATGTGATCCAGCAAAAGTGGGATTTGGATTTGGTAATCCAATCCAGAATCCAGATCGAACCTCGACTTTTATCTCAGGACCCTGGATGTTGTAGACTGGAGCCTCCTGGTCCCGGCAGTAGAAGTTAAAACTGCTTTCATCCAGGTTGTTATTTTCACATCTTTCCCTGCAGTGTGAAGGGTCTTTATTCCACACTTCACAGTCTAACCCTCCAGGCCTGCTCCGGGTCTGGCTGACCCAGACTGACCCTCCCCTGCCTTTAATCCATTTAGGTGGATGCTGCTTCAGACTCTGCTTATTCAGTAACAAGACTAAATGTTTACAGCCACGCTAGCAGCTCTGTGAGCCTCTACTTAGAAACGGTGGTGCTTTGAGCTAAATGCTAACAGCACGCTCACAAAGACAATGCTAACTGGTTTATCTGTTGTGTCGCATCAGTTTCGTGCTGTCTGTTATTTCCAACTCGGAGAAAAAAATTACCTCCGTCTTCCAGAAGAGGAATACACGCAGCTGCGACCAGGCAGAGCTGCTGATCTTTGTAGATTCCTTCGTTAAACTGGCACAAAAGAGTGAATAAATATTATATTAACCAGAATATCTGTGCATCCCAACCTATTAGTGTACATTTCTGTGATCGTCTCTGTTGGTGCAATAAATGTGGAAACATATGAACAAAGATGAAATAACATTGACAATATATACAATAATCTGTACAGTGTGCAAGTTATAATCCGAGAGATCCTTGGGGATGAATTCACCTGTAAATAGTGTCCACTGACAGTAGTTGTTTGTTCCACTGACAGTAGTTGTTGTTTGTTCCACTAACAGTCGTTGTTGTTTGTTCCACTAACAGTAGTTGTTGTTTGTTCCACTAACAGTAGTAGTTTCTGCCACTGACAGACTCAGGTTGTTATTGTCAGTGTCTGACAGCATTATGGAAAGGATCCCTACAGAGATAGACCTTTAGTTGAACCACAAACAGCCGTAATATCACTATCACTCTCCACCAGACTCCAGAGACAAAAACACTCATTTTACTTCACAGAAGTGAGAAGAAGAAATCGATTGGTTTTAATAACTCTGTTACTTTATTACCTACGAAAATACAGCATTGGATTGGGTCTCGGTATCGGCAGATATTCAATATTAAATGACTGGGATTGGTCCCTAATTTGCTCATAAAAAAGGTTAAGAAAGTAATTTTAATTCACTCTGAGGGGAACGTGAATGTCTGAACCACATTTCATCACACAAGCAACAAATAGTTGGTGAGATAGAGAGAGAGAGAGAGAGAGAGAGAGAGAGAGAAGAGAGAGAGAGAGAGAGAGAGAAAACAATGAGACGGGTTTGGAAGCGAACAGAGAACTTGGTATTTTTAGGTCCAAATCAGCTTCATGTTGATGTTTGGAGCTATTCTCAGTCATCAAAGGGTATTGCATAACAGTTGGTGATATCAGAGACAAACTGTACCTTCGTTTGGGCCCATTATCAGTGATTCTGTTCCTCTTTGTCCTCTTTGCTGTTAACTAAGTCCTGCTGTTGTAGCGGCTGTCAGTCACAGTGTTTACTGCATGAAGCACTCCTGGTATAAATGTGATGCTGAGAGCTGGTTGTAGGAGCAGATTACAGAGTTACTGCTGCAGCTCCACGTGGCACTGAGACAGGTTTGACTCACCCCGAGTCAGCTAATGTTAGCTACTCAAGCTAACTCATGGCAGCTAACACTACTGTTAGCAGCAGTTAGCTTCTTTTAGCAACAAGTCCATCTGGAACTCCATAAATCACCTTGGTACCGCTGTTGTCTGTCTGTCCTCTGTCTGTCTCTGAGGTTGTGTTCACTGGGAGGCTGCTGAGCCCCGTTCGGTTGCTAACGCTAACGGCAGCTACATTAGCAGCTACATTAGCAGTTAGCAGAGTTGAGGCAGTTGATATAAATATGATCCAATTTCTCCCAAATCACCAATAAAGTTGTGTGTTTGTACGAGTGATTAAGACATTTATTTATTTGTGCATACATTGTTGAATAAAATAAATGAAAGTACAGTATGACTGCTGGTGTAATATTTAAGGGTTCAATAGACATTTTTCATTTTATCTGGACTTTAAATTGTGTTTCTTTGATGTCTTTTGCTAACATAGACATGTGACGGGACAAAGGAAGACAGGGAAAGGATCACAGCTCATTGGCTGGATGACAGAAGTTCTCATATTGGGAATAAATCCACATTAAATCTGACTAAAGCTGAGACTAAAACCCTGAATAAAGCTGCTTTGCCGTTTGATAATTGTTATTTACAAAAATGTGCAGCTCCCTGCTGGAGGAACACGAGGTCACAGACTGAAGGCTGATATCTGATCAGATTTAAAGGCCAGTAGCTGCAGCGACCGTCTGTGAGGAGCTGCTGAAGTGGTGATCTGATGGTTTATGGGAAAACATCTGTGCCGGCGGTCAGCTGCCACACAGAGCCAAAGAAAGCCTCGGTTATTTTAGATCCCCGCGCTCCGTAAGCTCTCCTCCAAAAATAAAGTAGCTGGTGGATGTGGCCGCTGGGTGGGAGGCTTTTTATAATACTGGCCTCACATAGACTGCAGGGACGGGCTCATGATATCAAACTGTCAATCAGAATGAATTGACCTGTGAAGGTAAACGTGACCAGTTTAATAACTCGAGTGTATTCTGATCCCAACACTGAATGTCCTGATCTTCATGTGCTTCTGTTTGTTCTCCTATATGATAGTTACAGTATAGAGAAAGAAGTTTAATGTGATTACTGTACAAACACTGTATCAGGGATTCTGGTGAAACTGGATCATATTTCATGGAGAGAATATTGTCTGCTTACAGTACCGAGGTGATTTATGGAGTTACCAGATGGACTTGCTGCTAAAAGAAGCTAACTGTTGCCAACAGTAATGTTAGATGCTGTTCGCTAGCTAGCTAGTTGCATCTATCGTTGCCCCGGGTTGGCAGAAGCTAAAACCAGCAATAAACCAACCTCAGTCCTTTATTCCCTGTCCTCAAACTGTATGTGCATTCAGTCCCGCTCTGTCTGCCTCTGAATCAGCTCTCTGATTCCTGTTTTCATTGGACAGAGTTTAAAGATATAAAGAGCTGGTTAGAACATCAACTCTACATTCAACATTAATGTAAAAGCAATAACCAAATCAGCATTTTATCAGCTTTAAAATAAACAGCCGACGTTAGGAAGCTCATGAAAGAAGACGACTTGCTGATTGATGCTTTAATCTCTGCTGCAGTCGACGTCTGACTGGACTTCCTAAACAGACCATCAGACACTTCCAGCTCAACTAAAAGATCCTCCCACATCAACCAGTTCTTAGATCTCTGCACTGGTTGCCTGTAAGCTCCACAACGTTTTATTACTTATTTATAAACCTATACATGGAGTGAGACCTGAGATCTGATGTAGTTATATAACCCTGTGAGACCTCTCAGCTCTCCGGGGAAAGGACCGCGAGCACTGGAACCAACCGATGGTCTCACAGGAGCGCCGCAACCGTACAGTCTGTAAATCCACTGCTACTGTCGAGACAAATGTTTTTAAAACCCAAGGTCTTCGTATTACTGTGCTTTTGTTTTATTGTTTTACCTTTTATCTCTTTTCTTTAATTCTGTTCTTTTACATTTGAAGTGTTTTTAATCTGTGTCGGAAACGGGCTTCATAAAGTTTAGATGTTTGGGTCTGAAGCAGAAATTACATGTTTTTCCATCTTTCTTGAATGTTTTGAAAATCTCTTGAATTAGTTTTTCTTAATTAAAACATGCGTCTGGTCTTCTGTCGTCTCAGATATCCAGGAATTCTACGAAGTGACCTTATTGGACAGCCAGAGATGGGTGGAGTCTTCCAAGCCGGCGGACCCGATGGCGCCCGTCAACCTGTGGGACTTTTCCAGCCTTCAAAGCACAACGGTGACCTCGGACACTCTGCCCAGCCTTAGCACCAGCATCGAGGTAAGAACAGCGCGGCGGCTGTCAGGAGTTAAGTTGTGTCTCTTGGCGACAGGAAGAGAACGGCCTTCAGTAAAAATAGAGAATATTAAAAATAGATCCAAACATTACAGGACTGTTTGATGCTTCAGTGTGCTGTGTGGAGGAGACCGGGACGGACAATACGATGAGTGTTCAGTGTGATGGTGTGCTCTTCCTGAGAGGTGGAGCCTCCGTCTCTCCGTCGCCGTTACTGATCGTCACACCAGAAGTGTCCTGATATAAAAGCATTAAAGGCCGAGCTGCTGCGTCATCTCGCCGCTTGTGTTTCTGTTGCTTTTCTCGTTTTGTGGCCGTTTGCTGCTGCCTGTGCTCGTTCCACTCGGAGCGTTTGTGTGTTTCTTTGGCGTCTTCAGCAGATTTTATCAGCTGCACTTCATTAACATTAATTCAGTGAAGAAACGCTTCGTCTTTGTGCTGAGTCAGCAGCTGAAGTTTCTGGTTCCGATGAGTCAGACGTCTCCTCAGAGAGAACAAGTCTTTGTTGTAACCCCTGATAGGACAGGACTGTCCACAAGGTTATTATAGTTCATTTATAGTTCATTAAAACTCCACAAAGGTTATTATAGTTCATTAAAACTACACAAAGGTTATTATAGTTCATTAAAACTCCACAAATTACTTTTTGCTTTTTAATTAACTGAAATTCTATTGTTTGCTTATAAAGTGAACTAAAATAATAATATACAGGAAATGTTAGTTGTTGTTGTTGTTAGTTTTTTGTTAATTAAAACTAATAAAACTAAACTAAAACTAAACATTTTTAAACATTTAAAAATGAAAAACTTTCCTCTTAAAAACAAAATAGAACTAATGATAAATACATTAACATTAACTCTGCTGTCCACATACTTTTGGCCGTGTGTGTTTTTCTGGGGAATTAACAGCAGATTTGTCAGATTTTTACTTATTTTTTAATCATGAACACAAAAGTCTTAAATGTAAAATATTTATAGTAAAAGAAAGGCAACTGTATTTATATAGTACATTTCATACAGCAGGTCCCTTCAGTGTGGAAGTAAAAGAGCAACAAAGACAAAAGATTACAGATTTAACATTTAAGTAATCAAGTGTAGTTTGAATGGATTGAAATAAAAAACAATTTTTTCAAGTTTTGGATGCATAATTTAACAAAACATTAAAGCAAATAAAAGTAAAAGCAAAGGCTATTTACATGTTAACTAATGTTTTTTTTTTAGAGTAGGCAGTGTGAAATAGGTTTTAGTTTTGACTTTATAGTGGTCGGAGGTCAGTGGTTAGTCCAGGTCTGTAGAAACTTTCTACAATCCAGATGGCCGAACAGTAAAAGTAAAGATGATCAGATTCCCAGTTTTAGATGATAAAATCAAACAAAGCGATCTGTTGTCAGCAGGAGAGACTCGTACTGTCATTTCTCTGAAGCCCAATGTTTTCATAAGTTTATGGGATTCAGCAGAAATTGGAAAATAATCCACAAAATGTCATTTTCTGTCCTGGTATGAAACAGATTTTTAAAGCTGAAGTTTGTAGAGAAAGAGCAGTAAACAGCTGTTGTCTGGAGCAACAGATGTATTATTATTATTATTATTATTATTATTAGAGGATCAAAATCAACTTTTTTTTAAAGATTTTTATATGTTTATGAGAAAGTTCTTGTTACTTTTTGACACTTAGATTTTATTGCAACAGAAACTTTTTCATCAGCTTTAGTTCAGATTGGTTCAATATCGCTAATTCATTATTTTGAATAGAGACGTGCGACAAACGTGCTCAAAACCAAAAGTGACGCTGTCACTAAAATATAACTAAAATAACTAAAATAAAAACTCATCAAAACATCTGTTAGTCTTTCCAACAATCAGCAGATAGACAGATACTTGTACTTAGATGATAGCTGTTGCTGCTGTATTCATCTTTTATATCTCATATACCCTTTTAAGGTATTATAATTACTTTTTAATATGTAGTCAAATAAATCACGTTCTCTCAAGCTTTGTTAGTGACGATCATTAAAGCTCATTCTGCGTACGATGAGCTGAAGTTCCTCATAAAACTGCCACGTAACAACAACCAGTGAGTACGCGGCCTGTTGGTTCACCACCAGCTCATAACTCAGTTCATACATGTGACCCGAGGTTATGTTTGCAGTGCTGACAGCGCTGCATGTTCCTGCAGAGTGTTTGGACTCTGAACGCACCACGTAAAAAACCTCCACTGATTCACATCTTCACATTTCAGCTCTGTGTGTGTGTTTGACAGGAAACTCTGAGACCTTTTTCACAGCAGCCATGTTGACCTGAGATAGTAGGGTAAACACAGACGTTACCAATGACACTGAATGGCTCTGTCCATTTACGGTGCTGCTCTTCGTTCACTGTTCCTGTTTACGCGTTAGCAACCAACAGATTTTAGTTTTTAAATAAGAAAACCAAAATTGGGAAAACAAGCTACCGTTTTCGTTTTCTTGCCCTATTTATGAACGGTTGTCGGCAAACAGCTCGTTACACAATTACGTTTTCTCATTTAAGAATCTGTTGGTCTCAGCGTACACGGACTGTTTACCCTACTATCTCTGGCTGCTGTGAAAGGCTCTTCAGTAACAATATACAGCAAGTAAATCAGAGTCGTCCTTTTCAAAGGAGCTAGGCTAGCAGTTTCCCTCTGCTTCCAGTATTTGTGCTAAGCTAGGCTAAACACCCGACTGGAGAAAACCTGAAACTGTTGGACTGTTCTTTTTTAAAAGAGTGAATGATGGATCGAAGCTTTGCCATTAAAGCCGAGCAGTCATCAGCTTTGTGCTTCTTTGCCTGAGGAAGAGGAGGAGCACGTTCTCGTTATTTTTCTGTTGGCTTCATCGAGAACACAACGGAGCTCAGTCGGCTGCAGTCGAGTCAGTGTTTTGTTTGAGTCCAGTCCTCAGGTGTGGGTCACAGGTGAACTGTTTAACCTGTTTAGGTGCCAGATGAGTGATCTTTCTGTATTTAGCCACAGTTATCAACTATAAGCTCCACCCGTCTGGCACTGAAACAAGCTCAAAACAAACCCTCTCTGTGCAGATCCAGGTGTGTTGTTTGCATTGAACCCTTCTCTTTCTTTCCTCTTTCTCTGATTGTAAACACACATCGTCCCTCGTAGGACTCCCCCCTCCTAAACGAAATCCTGCACACGTTGGCGCAGGCCAAACGCTCGGCCGGCCATGACGGACAAGTAAGTACTGGATGCCTGCTGCTGTTGGTGGGTGGGAGGGAGGGAGGGAGGGGGTGTCGGTGTCGTACCACCTTCGCCGCATGTCCCATCCAGTCCTCATGTGCTTCGGGACCATCGGAGGGGGTTCTGGGTCCAGGGGTCAAGGGTCAGGTTTGCCCACATGGCCTTAAGGTGTCGCTGTAGTTGGTTCTCATTGACATTAATGTGAAACCAGAGAAGAGCTGAAAGACGAGTTTAATATCCTGATTTCTGTTAATTATTGACGATTTTTTCCAAAGAAAATAAATATTTTAAAGTGACTTTGCTTCAAATTCAGTCTACACAACTATCAAATCTGGTAAAAGTGTCTTTTTCTGTTCATAAACTCTAATATTCTCTACAGGAACTGACCGACAGACAGATGGTGAAGGTTGGGTCGCTGTCAGAAGAATATTTAGGGCTGTAACTAACGATTATTTTCATTATCTATTAATCTGTGGTTTAAGTTTAAGTAGTATATTCCTCTAGTCAGTAGTTCTTTAAAGCACCATATATCATATTATACACAAAGAGGACAGCTCGGCTAAATTAAACATTAAACATAACGTTTTACTTTGTGGCGCCCCCTGTGGACAAAAGCCAGTAGTGTTTCTACCTCCTCGTTTCATCGATGTCAGACATTTAATAACTATATAGAAATATCCATTATTCTCTCTGATGTTAGTTTATGTTCATGTAGAGGCGTCAGTATTAAACAGAATCGTCTCAGACTCTCAGCAGCATTTCCTCTCTGGTGTTTAAGATTCAGCCACAACACAGCGACATGTTGAGGCCGTTTGTGCTGGGTTCAGGGGTCATGGTTCATTGTGCTTCATTCATTTTGGTTCATGTTGTTGGGTCTGAACAGTACACCTCCTGTCCTCAGAGCGGACAGACAGCTTATCGATACACAGCAGTTTAATCAACAAACGTGATCAGATCTGCTGAATCAATATGTTCATAAACATAAAAGTGTATCAGTGAAACTGAACGTGACAGTGAACTTCAGGGTTGGGTATCCTTTGGGTTTTTTACAATATTTTTCAAATAGAGCAGGTCTAGACCGAACTCCTTATAACACACTGATTGATTATTGATATAAAAATACAAAGAAATTTAGTTTTTATAAATATATATTTTTTAAATATAACTGAGGATTCAATTCAGTTCAGTTTTATTTGTATAGCACCAATTCATAACAGAAGTTATCTCAGGACACTTTTCAAATGATCCCCACAGTACCACCATGAGCAAGACCTTGGAGACAGTGGCAAGGACCAACTGCCTGTTAGGAGGATGTGATTTTAAAGTGTTAAACTGACGGTTAAAGCTGTTTCAGGAGACCACTCTGGTACCGAAACCAGGCGCCGACGTCTGCTCGGTGACCCAGTCCGGTCGTATAGGAACTGGTGCCCTATTGGCACCGTGTTTCGGGACCCAACCCTGAAGCCTGAGAGCAGCATGTTCCCACATTTGGTTTAAGTCCACATGACTGATGGTTAGTAGAACAAACCCATTCAAACACGTCCCCGAACTAACCAAACTGAATGTGTGTAAAATGACCTCTCCTGACCCCGGGACCCACGGCGCTCAGCATCATCAGTCGGGTAAACTTTTAGGGTTCACTCAGAGAGACTGGAGCTGTACTGGTGTTCAGGACCTTCATGGTGGTGGTTCATGTGGATTTCAGTTCTGGTTTATGTCCAGGTTTCGGTCATACTCTGACTGTTCAGGTTCCTGTTTGTGTTTTCATGTTCTGCTTCAAACGGCGCCATCACATCTGTTTGTATTTAAAGTTGTTAAAGTAAAAAATAACTGCTGATCTCAGTGGGAGTGTGAAGTATTTGGACCATCTACAGGTTGTTAGTTTGATTGTATGCAGGATATTTAACCACTTTATAACGCTGTGTATATGACTATATATTCATCTGTGCAGCTGAATGAAACATCATCCACCTCCTGCAGCAGCTCTCTGTAGGTTGGAATCCAGAAACCGCTCTCAGTAACATCTGTATGATCTCAGCAGCCAACTTTATTCATTGTTAAATTTATGTTTATGTTAGCTAGTGTTGCCCACTGTTGGCACTCGGGAGCATAAAGGTCACAACCTTTGACCCTCATCCCTACATAGAGACACATAGAGATCAGTCCACAGGCAGCAGAGGAACAAAGCTACACTACAACCCGATCACCGATCAATAATCTGACATATGGAAGCTTTAAAACGACAATAACTTTATATTTTATTGTGTAAAAAAACGCTCTTTGCATCACTTCCTGTGGAGCGGAGGCATGAATCTGCCATATGATGACACATGACGGGTTCATGGAACCGTGAAATATTCATACTTGTGATTCCCACCGGCCCACGCTGCCTCGTCTCCTGCTGCTCCTCCTCCTCCTCCTCCTCCTCGGCCAGTTGGTGTTGAGTCATACATGTGGTAACTCACACACAGTCAGTGTGTGTTAAAGTTTTTGGATTTAGGATTAAAAAAAAAGCTGTCTGTGATGAGTTTGAGGTAAAGTAGGACGTTTCAATGCTTCTTGTGAGCAGCAACGATTAATCAGTTGATTTAGAAAGTGAATAGGTAACAGTTTCTATGAATCTTAAACAAATATCTAAACTCAGATGTACTTTTATTTGTTTTTCATCAGAGTAGACTGAAGATATTTTTATTCTGGACAAAACAAGTATTTAAATACGACTTTAAACTCTTAGTTGGACATTTTTCTGACTATGTTATCGACCAAAACTGAATTTATTCAGAACATAATTGGCATACAGTGATTTTAATGCATATTAAAATAAATATAATAGTTCTTTATAATTATATTCTAGTGCTGTGATGATGACGAGAGAGAAACATTATTCTGTAACATAGAAACTTCTCAACAGTTTGACTTATAATCACTTACAGGATCTATCACATAGATCAGAGTTGAGATTTCCCACGGCTCTTAAACGCAGCCTGAGACCGGAGGAGCGGGGGTCCGGTGAGTCCCGCTCCCGCTGAAGAAGGAGGAGGACCGGCGAGTAGGGATGCGGTGGCTCTCCAGTGAGCACACAGTCTGTCGGTGCCGGTGCTCGGTGTCTGTCGGTGGGTCGGTGGGGGGACCGTTAGAGACCGTTAGAGACCGTTAGAGACCGTTAATCCCGGCTCTCTGGAGCTCGCGCTGCAGGAGGGACAGCACGCGATGAGATGCTGATGTTCCCGGGCTTTCCTCCCGGCTCGGAACCATGGACTGCATCTGTATTGTCACGACTAAGGTAAAAACGCCCGATATACACAATTAAACACCGACACACAAACACGGTAGACCGTTAAATCTCTTAATTATGAGTCGGTAATTAATTCGGCGTGTGTCTCATCCAACAACCGGCTCCAGTTTCAGTAAAAAAATCCACTTTTAGAAACGGTTCGCGCCTCGGTCACACCGTAGATTCCCACTAAAATGGCGCAGCTGATTAACGGAGGCTGGTAGTGAAATGCGGCGACCAAATTCAAAAAGTTAAGTTTGTAGAGAAGTCCGGTTTATTTTTATTGATTATATTGCTGCCGAATTAAAGACAACACTGTGACATATATACTGCTCTCATGTCGTCTTCAAGTGATGCGTCTCTACAGGAAAGTAAGGAATTGTTAATTTGTCATATTTCTTAATGTAGTCTGGCGGAGCGTTTTCTCATTAGAGCGCAGGGTCAGTTTATTAGGCTGATTATTTATCAGTTTTATCCACTACAGAAACGTTAGATAGCTAATTAAATAAGGTAATACTGTTTGATTATGTTTGCTGTTTGGTTATTGATTCGTTTGATCAGTGGTTTACAGTCTAATCCGTGCCTTTGTATTGATTAATGATCAGCTAATTGTACCTCAGTTTTAATCAACTTTCCCAATTAAACATGATGTGACTGTTGGAGGTTGAAAGCTCAGCACCTTTTACCTTCTTTTATTATTAGTAACTGTTATTATAATTAAGACATTATAATATATTTAATAGTAAGTGTGGAAGTTTTTCTATCAAGAATTAAATTTTCACTGTAAGAACTGTTAAAATCATAAAGAAGTGACATTAGTTGGTCTGGATCAAACAAACATCTGGAGAACATTTATGTGTGCAAGTAAAAGCTGTCTGTGTGCAGTTTAAAGTAGGGATACCACTTTTTTCAAACCGATACCGATACTTGGATCTGAGTACTTGCCGATACCGAGTACCGATGCCGATACTTCTACCACAAAAAAAATGCACTAAATTAGGTTTTGACCACAAAATGAATGTAGAGTAACCTAACAAAAACAGAATAGGCTATAACCTATAACTTTCCTTAAATGTAAATGTCAATTTTATATTTCCATTGAGTATTGATGTCTTGACTTGAACCTTTTGTGACAATATTGTTAGGTTAAAAATACAAGGCAATGCAGATTTAAGCTTAGGCCTAGTGATAGTTTTAGTTTTGTCTGTTACCAAACGGAGGTAATCGCGGATGCAGCGCAGAGCCACTGCGGGTCCGCGGTCTGCCTTCGTAGCGGATCCGTCACTGAGAGCAAGTGGGCGCCGATACGGGTCCGTTTCACGGGTCTGTTCCGGAAGCCACAATACCTCGCCGCAGAGTCCTTTTGCTGTGTGGAGACATCTCCCCTAGTGATGACAAGCCACCCTCTGATCGCGGTCTTCATGCAAAACAATCGCATGTAAGAAATTGGTATCGGTTAATGGTATTGATTAACTTTTACGAGTATATAAGACTAGTATTGGCCCGATACCAGTATCGGTATCGGTGCATCCCTAGTTTAAAGCTGTCTGTGTGCAGGTAAACAGTTTAACGTAAAGCGCGTGGCAGTTTAAACCATCGGTAAAGCTGTCGTGGCAGGTAAAAGCTGTCGTGGCAGTTAAAGCTGTCTGTTGCAGGTAAAACTTAAAAGCTGTCTGTGTGCAGTTTAAAGCTGTCTGTGTGCAGGTAAAAGCTGTCTGTATGC